TCTTTCCTCTGTTTCTTTGTACTTTCCTCTTGTCCCACTATCATGTTCTGCCTTCATTTGGGTTTTAGGCATTCCTCTCGGTTACATTGCCCTTGATCCAGTCCTGCAAGGCTTCCCGCATTGACATTGATTTTGGATCACTTGTTGTTCCCTTGTGCCTGTGCTTGTTAACACCCTCTTCCTTCCTTCCCCCTCCCCTACCCCCATGCTCCCCTGATCTGTCATCCCGTTGTTCTCTCTTCTGGCTTGTTTATCCCTTCCAGGTAGGCATGCTATGTACCATCACCAGACTGAGTGCAACGAGGCAACAACAGAAAGTAAAACAATGTCTACAACAACAACAATACACACATATGCATACATACATAACCGTATGAATAGTTCAGGGTCTGCTTGTTTTCTTTCACGTGTGCTTTCCAGTCAAGTCTGATTGGGTGCCATGCCCCGGCGTCGTATGGCAGTGAATTTTGTTGTTGTTGTTCTATGTATCATGTTATCATATGAAAAATAATCTTTTCCTCAAACAAGATGCAAAGGCATCTATTTTCAAGCAGAGTTCCCATCTCTAGACAGTGGGCTAGGCCCATGTCCAAGCCCAAACCCACTGCTATCGAGTTGATTCTGTCACATAGACTCTTTGTAGTTTCCCAGACTCAATCTTTATGGGGATGGAGAGCCTCATCTTTCTCCAGTGGCACAGCCTGTGTGTTTGAACCGACTTTGCAAAGAGCAGTCCATCGTTTATCTGACACCTTCACCTGGACACCCCAAGGACCATTTAACCCCAACCAAAGTCAATGCAGACTCATAGTGACCTTATAGGATCGGGTTGACCTGGTCTGGTCTTTGTCCCTCAGAGCAGCTAATGGTTTTGAACTGCTGACCTTGCAGTTGGCAGCGCCACACATCACCACTAGGCCACTAGGGTTCCTAGAATGGAGTTAAAAACAGAACAAAACACGATCCTGGAAAGATGCCCTTCCAATTGGGGAAAAACGACCTTGTTGAAAGAATGTTTCTCAAGTATAATCTCCAGAACATTCGAGCTGTGGATCCTAATATAACGCAATGACTGGTGCGTGGGTGTACATGCAGGTGGGCGTCTGTGCAACTGGCCCGTGCTTTTTCCTTTGGAGCCACTGGGTTAGAACGCTATGACTTTCACTCCTTTCAAAGGTGTAGTACAAATAGCAAAGGCAACTGAAAGGGAAAAAAATAGTAACAAACTGGGTACAAGCAGCAAACAGAGCGATTGTTAGGAAGCTCGTGGTCCATGTCATCAGGCTCTTCTCCATGTGAAAAACGACCAATGGGAAGTATTAATGTCTCAGCCCATGGAAGTCCCATAGCGAGGTTTGAAAGGTCAGCTCTTCTGGAAGTGTTGTCAGGCCCACAAAATCACTCGCAGATTCCCCACACAACAGGGACGCCACTTCTGAGAATGAGGAACAAAAGCCCAAAGGAGGGCAGTAGCTTAGACTCCCAGGTTTTCAGCTTTTATTAGACCCTTCCCCGTGCACACCTGTACTAACTTCTATGATGTCAGAGGCCCCGTCATCCTCCACAGGAGGGTGACGCGCAGGGACTTCCAGGAACCTGGCAGAAGCCTGCATGTCTACGCACTAGCGGAGTCATGATGGAGCGTATTAGAGGAGAGTGGAGATCCAAACAGTAGTGTGTCTTGGACAATAACAGTGAGAGGAACAGGCCAAGTGGCAGGATAGGAAGAACCTTCCCCGCAAGCCCTGGTTGTCTCCTCTTGCACATCTGGCAGACTGGGGCTCTTTCCACAGTCTCAGTCCGCATTTCCACAGCACCGTTTTCCAAAACAAGAAGCCCTGGTGGTGTAGTGGGTTATGTGTTGAGCTGCTAATCACAAGGTCAGCAGTTCAAAAGCACGAGTTGCTCTGAGGGAGACAGATGAGGCTTTCTAGTCCCATAGAGTTGCAGTCTTAGAAACCCACAGGGGCAGTTCTACCCGGTCCTATTGGGTTGCTATGCGTTGGAATTGACTCGATGGCAGAGTGAGAGTGACTTTTCTGCAACATGTACCCATTTGGCATACGTTGGCTGACGCCACCTGAAGCTGAGGGAACACAGCTTCGACAACGATGGACCAGGAATGATGGGAAATTCCCAGGCTCTGCTTCTTGGGGCCACTGCTTTTCTATGGAGAAAGTGAACCCTTCTGCAGCCCAGGAAGGGGTCACCTGGGAAGGCCTGTGGCCCTTGGGCTCTTAGCATCTTGGGACTGAACTTTGTTGTTGGGTACCACTGAGTCGGTTCTGACCCATAGTGACCTTGTGAACATCAGAATGAAACCCCGCCTGGTCCTGGGCATCCTCTCAATGATTCCTCTGCCCGAGCCCATTGCTGCAGCCACAGTGCCAATCCCTCTCATTTGGGGCCTTCTTCTTTTTACCACTGCCCCTCCTAGTTGCCATTGAATGGATGCCGCCTCCGGGTGACCTGGCGTGTGTCGGGGGAGAACTGGGCTCCTCAGGGCTTTCAGAAGCAGATCACCAGGCCTTTCTTCCAAGGCACCTCCGGGTGGCCCCAAACCTCCAACCTGTGGTTATCAGATGAACATGCCAGCCATTTTCACCATCCAGGACTCTGTCTGGGCTAGAATATGGTTCTTGGTGTTCTGGGGACATCCTCTTTTCTTTCTAATGTCATCCAGATAGGCTGAGTGTGGGCACAGGGTGGTCAGGTGAGGAGGCCAAAGGCCCAGAGAAATGGATCTGCTCGGGCCTGAACACCTGGACTTCCCTGTGTACAGGCTGTGCCTGTCAGTCAAGGGCTCTGCTTCCTGGTTGTTGCCACCTCAAGCTGCTAGGGGCAGCCAGCAGGCTGGGTCTGGCTTCCGGCTGTCTCTGCTGACTGGACCAAGAGGCGGGCTGTGGCTCCAGTGTGAGGTTCTGGCAGCCCTGCGCCTGCTCAGAGCCCACAGCCAGACGGAAGGCAGGCCCACGCGCCAAGATCCCAAGAGGAACGACTTAGCTCATATTTTCCCTCCGCCTGGCGATTTCCCCTCCCCCTCGTTTTCTCTCGGAGGGAATCCCCATGTTTACAAACCGAAATCCCAAATGCACAGCCGGTCAGTTCACAACGCCGTGACCTTGAACATCTGTGGGGTCGGGTGTTCCTGGGGAATCGGCAGAGCTGAGGGCTGGGCGTCAGGCCAGAAGGGAATGGATTCTCCTGGGAGCGCTGGAGGCAGAGGCTGAAGCCAGAAGGCCCTCAGGAGGCCTCCAGGCTGGTGGACCTCGGAGCCTGGCCTCCCCGGGGCAGCTCTGCACTCCACGGGCTTTCTGGGCCCCATTTTGACCCTGTGGCTTTGAGGGCCAAGAACTTCTGGAACATCTCACAGGAAGCAGGGTAGCCCTCTCTGCCTTGAAGAAAGGGCATTTTATCACCCAAGATTGTCAAAAACTCCTTGCCACCAAGTCAAGACTGACTCATCAGCGCCTTTCTAGGACAGGGTAGAGCTGCCCCTGTGAGTTCCCGAGATTGTGACCATCTGTGGGAGTAGAAAGCCCTGTGTTTCTGCAGCAGAGCAGCCGGTAGTTTTGAACTGCTGACCTCTGTATGGCAGCCCAATACGTAACTACTATGCCACCGGGACCCAAATCTGGTGACCAAGAAACAAGAGCTCTTCTAGGTCTTGAGAGAAAAATCTAGAACCCACTGGATTGGTTTTGTCATCTGTGATTGAAAGCAACAGGATTGCGCTCCCTTTGTGGAATGGGGAAGGGGTCTCACGGCCAGGATTCCCAGGACAGCCACACGAATAGTCTTCTGTGTGGTCCGTGGTATTGTGTGGGACTGACGGTGCCTCATCATACCCACCCCAACTGCTAGGCCAGGAGGTGGACGGTGGCTCTGTATCATCATTTTAAAGGGTTAATTTGATAGCCACTTAAAGGGTAAGCCAACCCTGGACGGCGTTAGCATGTGACGTGTTTTCATATCCTCACTGGGCCTTGCCTCCTCCTCGCTGCTGTGAGAATGGGTTAGGTGGTTGCTAATGTCCGGGCAGCTCTGAGAGTCAACTGTACTCCTGCCTGTTTCCCCAAAAATAAGACAGTGTCTTATATGAATTTTGCTCCCAAAGATGCACTAGGTCTTATTTTCAGAGTATGTCTTATTTTCCCATGAAGAATATGGTACACATTTATTGTTTATTGTTTTATTAAAAGAGACCTCGCACTACCTGTCTGCTCTGGCTGTGCTGCGGCCAATAGTGAGCTGCGTGGTGGCACCCACCGCTATGGTCCAGAGTTACGGCAGCCTCGGGGCGACCTTATTTTCGGGGAAGTCTTATTTTCGGGGGATGCCTTATATTTCAGGGAGAGGCAAAACTGTAAGTAGGTCTTATTTTTGGAAAATGTCTTACTTTCAGGGAAACAGGGTAGGTAGGTTCCCATGGGGAGCACAGCTTTACTCTGACACACGGGCCCAGCACGCTTGGGGAAGGTGTCTGTGGTACCGGGCTTCCTCAGAGCTGGTTCCCCCACTCCAGCTTGTCTGTTCGACCTTGCATCCACCAGACATGCTTCCTGTGCTTTTCCGAACAGATCCTTCATATTGGTTCTGGCCTACAGTGGGCTTTTTCTGTAGCATGCTATTCAAACTCCTGCAAAAAAAGAGTTTTTTCATTTTCAGATGTGAGCTAAGTCATTTTAAGTTAAAAACAAAAAACTCCACAAAGCCCCCCTCTTCATCTTACTTGGAGGGAATTTTGATCCACAGGACTGCCCATCACCCCCTCCCCACAGTGGCTATAGACCATTGTTCTATAACCGAAAAGTCGGCAGTTTGACAACACCTGCCACTCCTTGGGAGACGAGGCTGTTTCTCATGTTGGAAATCCACAGGAGAAGTTCCACCTTGTCTATGGAGTCGCAAGGAATTGGAATCAACTCGCTGGCAGTGAATACAATCCACGTCACACCGAATAGCTTATCGGAAAAATCCCACCACTCGTTGCACATTCATAAAGAACTTCAAATCCAACAAGTGGCTTCCAGGGTGGCATGGTCTTGGAAGGAACTTTTCCTGGCAGTGAATTCCCAGTCGAGCATTGTTTTGCTGAGGTACAGAGGGACAAACTCAACGATAAAGAAGGTTGGCAGGACTTGGACGCCCAGATTCTCACTTGGAATAGAGTAGTGGAATGGATTTCTCGTTCATGTAGTACCAAGGCTTTTGATCCGTTTATTTTACTTATTTTACAAATGTCATGTGTGGTTGGAATTGCCTGTCCACCTTCTAGAAAGGATGGCGGCACTGCGTCTCTTGTGTTCCATGTGAATGCGGCAGCGAGGTTCCCCAGGAAGAGCAGCTCTGGGTGAAATCTGCTTGCCTGGAGGGCTAGTGCTGAGAAAGAGACTGGATACCAGGCCTCTTCCTTCCCTACATGACTGCAGAGAGCATGCTGTTCCTATTAGGAGCCCATGAGTTGGATCCGACTCATAGTGACCCAGTGCATACCAGAAGGAAACACTGCCCAGGCCGGCACCACTCTCAGCTGGTATGTTCGGGTTCACGGCTGTAGACGCGGTGCCAGTCCATCTTATGGAAGGTCTTCCTTTTTGTTCACTGTCCCTCCACCTTTCCAAGCACAGTGTCTCTCTCCAGGGACTGGTCTTTCCTGACAATGTATCCAAGGTAGTAGGATGTACCCACTACTGGAGATTGACATTCAGATGAAGCACTTCGAACACCAAGCCAGCCATTGGAAATAGCAATCATGTCAGTGTTTAGCATTTTACATACAAAAGCAATCATTGAATGATGAGTTCATATTTTTCTTAGCTAGCTTGTACGTTGTCATAGAATTTCTAGAATAAAATTTCATATATATATACATATTTTTAATACAGAATTTCAAAATCACATTTAGAGAGGGGAGAAACAAGTTAACCATTGAAGGGGCTGAGGGGGCTGGGAGTGAGCAGGCGGTTTAATTCTCAGCCATTGACAGAATGGAGGTCAAAACCAACAGAAAAACCAGAATTTATTTCAACAGAATGGAGAAAAAAAAAAGTCAGCTTCTTTATATTCATTTATTTACGTGGGCAATGAATAACTTACGGACCACTTCATCTCAAACAGATTGCTTTTATTTTAGCTAAGCTAATGTGTCAGTTCCATATTTCTTTCTCTGAATTTCCATCAATGTCAAACACCATTTCCACAAACTTCTTCTTCTTCAAAAAAAATTACAAGCACTTTTACGGCACTCAAGGAAAGTAGGCTGAAGGTCCATAATAATAATTTTCCTTATAAGAAACATCTCTCGGACCAAAATAAAATCATTTTAATTAACTCTTTCCTGAGTAACGAAAACCTTGGAATGTGCTGAACGGTTATAATAAATAAGGCAGTCCAAGATTAACCAGCTTAAAACGTGTTTTTTCTTTAAATTAAACTATGTAAAATGTACACTATATTTCATGAAGTACAAACTGTGTTGGGCACCGAGCCGAAGCCGCATGGGCACGTGCTCCCTATGAATTGATGAAGTGCCTTGGCGTTTATGGGGAAGAGGCAAAACCTCAGCTGTTTGTGGGGCCAAAATCACATGAGCGCCCTGCTAGACAGCCAGCCAGTCAGCATCTTTCATTGTTAGGCTGAGGCAAGGCCCCTGCTTTAAAGACTTGTCTTCGAACACATAGGCGGAAGCACACGTGTGCACCTGTATCAAGAGGATGCATTCAATCACCACTGGTCCCAAAGGTGTTCTGACTACCGCAGAGCAAACTTAGCCTCCTTTCCTTCTAGTTTCAGATTCGGAGTACACAGTGTTTAAACTAAGCATCGTTCTTTATATATAATCTCATAGACGGGACGCACGGCTTAGCAGTCGGCAGTTCATGGTCCCGTTTTGAACATGGCAGCCTTTCCCTAGGCTGCTTCCGAAAGCATGCTTTCTTCAGTAGGAGGGCCCTGGGTTCTCTGAACTGACAAAGGTTATTTCCTCTTCTAAGGATATAATCACGGCTCTGCCCAAGTTCTCTGGGAGTTGGGAGGAGGCCCACCGGTGGCCGGGAGCTGGGTTTTGTGCCTCGGAGGATCCTGCCTCTACGGGATTCCTGGGAGGCTGGAAGCCTTCTGAATCATCTCGTGATAAGGTAGCTCTAGTGTACACTCGGTGGGGTTCCAGATGGCTCGCTTTGCATCCTGGCTACCATCCAGCTGTAGTGAAAGAAGTAACAATTCTAGAGGTTGGTTGGTTTCTGAAAAGTACCAAACGTGTAGCTTGTGTAAAGTCCTGGTCATGGTTGGGTATTTCCAACGCTCATGTTTGCGGGCTCAAGGGAGAAATGCATGAAATAAGCAACACTGGTTCCGTGGTGTGTCATTCCTGGTTGGACCTCCTGGCTCCTCCCAAGGGCGCTCCTGCTTCTCAGCTAGCTGTCTTCTTATTCACCCAGGGCTGTATGGGTTTCCAGTTGGGCTTTTAAAAATGCAAAAGCATTTTAGATTTCCAACTTCCTAATGACTGGACCAAGGTGCCATTGGTAGGCAGTAGTTGATGGAGTGGGAAGTCGGGGGAGGGAAGAAGAGATATTTGGGGGGCAGTGGAACTGCCCTGCATTTGCTCAGGAGACTCTTGCTCTTCTTCTCCTCCTGATGGCCCCAGGGAGAGGCTCAGCTCCACAAGCAAGGAGCGTGTCCTTCCATCGCTGCCTGCACAGAACTCAGTACCTCCGTGTCCTGGAATCAGCTGCTGCTTAAGGTGAAAGATGCTAAGCAACCCCAGGGTGCCATTTGGTTCAGGAAGGTGACTGAGAGAGTACACATTGTGATCAGACCTCAGAACTTCTGTCACCGCGCGCGCGCGCGCGCGCGCGCGCGTGTGTGTGTGTGTGTGTGTGTGTGTGTGTGTGTGTGTGAAGTGCTAGAACTACAGTGGCTCATGCGGGCTTCCACTGAAAGCAAGCCTGGGGGAGAGATGTTCACACCCTTCCTCGGGATTGTATCTGTCTTGCTTACATTCCTCATGCTCAAATTCTTTTCCCCTGCTCTGCCAGCTTCGCAAGCTGCGAGGCTGGGGCTTGGACACAGGGTGCCTCAATGCCACTGGCCATGCATTGGGGCCCTGGAACAGGAGTCAGGGCTCTGGATTGGTTGGGGGAAGTGGCATGAGCCAGCATGCTCTTTCAGAGAGCAACACCCTGCTCTGGGTGAAGGTATCCCCTGAGGGGGGCCCGAGGCGGGATTCTATCCAATGAGAGGAGGAGCCACATTTCCAGGGAGAGCCTCTCTCCTGCTGTCTTCGCGTCTGGCCCACCATCTCCTCTCACCTCCTTCTAGAGCCGATGGATGGCCTGGTCTCGAAAGTAGTTTTGTATTTCTGTTGAATTATACCCATCTGGGTGTCTCCTACCACTGTGGTCATTTTTGTAACAAGTAATCTCACAGATGATAAGAAGTTATTGGCCGTGGAAGCGTATCTCTCCCTCCCACTATCACGGTGGACAAAAAGCCATGCCATGAGCAGATGTGGGGTGACAGACCTCCTCTGACGTGCCTGAGAAGGGCCTGAGGCGCCAAGGAAGACAACAGCGTAAAACGAAAACAGGTAACACCCAAAAAACCAGCCATCTCCCAACGACCCCAACCTGTGGGGCGGACCTGTTCTTCGTAATGCAGCTGAGCATTGATCGCGTCACCTCAGCAATTTCTTCTTTTTTTTCTTTCCAAACAAAAGAACCTGCTGGAAAGGGAGATCCGGCCAGGGGCGGTCGCTCACGCAGGGTGGCATCACCTCTTATAAATATCTTCCAACCACTTCTCGTCATCTTGTTCCTCTTCCTCAATGGGCTCTTCGGTTTCCAGTGGCGTGGGGATGAAGAAGTGGGGCCTCGCGGGGGGCGTGCTGGCCGGAGACTTCAGCCCGAACTTGCGCTTCAGCAGGTGAAACTGCTCTCGCACGTAGTGGTAGAACTCGTACTCATATCTCATGCGCTGGTAGAGGATCTGCACAGCTTCGGGGGAGGGGACGGTCTTCTTCACGGTCACAGTCAGGTTTCCAAGTTTCCTATGCTCTGCAAGAGAAGCGGGGTCGCACACGTCAGCAACTGTTTCTGCAAGTAGGGTCAAGAGCTACAGACACGGAACCAAGGCATCCACCCTCTCCACCTCCGTTCTGCGCACACCTCAGGGAGGTGGCTTGTGTTCATCGTGTTCCCCAACCGTCACCACGATCTGGTCCCTAGCTTTCTCCCATCACTCTTAACAAACACTTGGGGTTCCCCAAGCAGTGTGGTTCCCCCTTCCCCACTCCCTCTTCCTGTCCTTGAAACCATGAAGAAGAAACGTGGGCATGTCTACAGGTGCCTAGCCTTGTTATTTCATGCAAGTGGAATGAGACCAGGTTGTCTTCTATAATCAATCATCCTTAATGCTTTCATTGGCAAGGAATGATGACAAGGACCAGTACTATCCAGAAGTAACACCCAATGAAAGGCACTAGGTATCAAAGCAACAAAGGGGGACACAGTGCCCAAGTACCTGTAGAAAGAGCTCGCCATCAGCTAATGCGGTAGCAGCAGCAACAGCTGGCTGACCAAGCGATCTGACTTCCCTGTCATGGCCTGTGAAACACACACTTGACTGCTGTGTAATTGAGAAGTAGAAGTTATACATTCCCTGGACCCCCAAATCTATCCACGTTTTCTCTTCTCTGTTGCAACCAGCTCTTAGAAGCAAGGCACTAAAAAAAAAAACAACCCTGTCTGCTGCATTCTACACCCCTTGCTCTTAATGAGAAGCTTTACTGCCAAGTTTGTCTACTGCCAAGGTGCACTATTTACTAAGCGTAGCTCCAAGCGACTCTTTGCACACACAGACTCGCCCTAAAGGGCAAAGACTTGGCGTTCCCACCCCCACTCCTACCAATCTGACTTAATTGGAATATGGAATGTAAACAGATGTTTCAAACCAACAGCCTAACCTTATAAAATGTATGATCCGACTCACAGGGAAATCCCACAGGCTGGTGTGATGGCGGACACCTCTAGCGCTAGAGCAGGTGGGTAGCAGCCCCATGGCCCCAGCAAGGGTCTGCAGCGGGGACTCCAAGCGACGGCTGGTGTCAGAGGACCGACGTACCTGCGAAAGCGCGTTGCTAACAAAGACTGGTCATTTTATGAGGGTGAGTGAGACACTTTCTGATGCCTCCCACACTAGTTTGAGGCTTAATTATTCATTTATTTTTCCTGAGTGGTCATGGCCTCTGAAATAGGCCATAGCACTTCAAACTGGTTTTCTTGAAAGGCGTAATACACAGTTGGATATATCATTCCTAGGAGTTTTGTTAAAGAACGCGGCAGAGACGCTTCTAAAACGCATTCCTGAAGGATCGAGCTATATGAACTGTCTTCTCTCCAGGAGAAAGAGGGGTTCCACTCCTGTAAAGAGTGACAGTTGTGGAAACCCACAGGGGCAGCTCTGTCCTGTCCTATAGGGTCACTCTGAGTTGGCATCAACATGATGCCAGTGAGCTCTGAGGTTCTTTGTTGGCTTGTTTTTTGAGTCTTCTCTCCAGATAGTCTATGTAGCAAATCAGGAGTGGAACATGCTAATAGACATTAATTGTTTTGAAACACTTTGTATTTTCAAAGTGCAGAGTTTAAAAAAATCCTATTAAAGACAGATCAACAAGGCATGGATGTTTTAAACTACTGAGAGGTGTAAGAAAAAGAATTCACTTCTTTCCAGTTTCCTACAACCCCTTTCTCTTGAAGCAGGATAAATGGTGTGCGGTTTTATGATCTAATCAAGCAAGAGAAGAAAGAGAATAAAAGCACTCCTGTGGTTTTAAAATGAATTCATTAGCTAAATTGTTTGGTCCAACTAGTTCCAGAAATAATGTATGGGACTCTATAATATAATAGGTTTATATTGTAAGATGCTTTACATTATTTTTCTATTACTCTGATGGCAACGTGGGTTATACTTTGGCCTACCCACAAGGTCAGAAGTTTGAAACCAGTGGTCACACGGCAGGAGCAAGACGAGGCTTTCTGTTCCAGTAAAGATTTGCAGCTTCAGAAACCCACAGAGAGAGTCCCTATGAGTAGGAACAGACTTGACGGCGGTGGGTTTGAAGTTTTGGAATTGGCTGGGATTCACAAGGTCAGCAGTTTGAATCTACCGGCCACGCTGTGGGAGAAGGACTGGGCTTTCTACTCCCATTAAGATTTACAGCCTTGGAAATCCACCAGGGCAGCTCTAATCTGTTTTATAGGTTCTCTAGTTCTTTTCGGCACACCGTGTATGCTCTGTGTATGTTTTCCATCCTCTTTGATACTTCTTGAATCATTCAATATTTGCCTATAGCATCTCTCAACATTCAAGGCTTGGATTTTTCTTGAATTTTCTTTCAGTTTGAGATATTCTGAGTTTATTTTTCCTTTTTCAGTTTTCATATTCTAGGTCTTTACACATTTCATTATAATCTTTTACTCTGTCTTCTCCAGCTGCGTTTTAAAATTTATTTTATGTCATCATTTCTTCATTTGCCTTAGCTACTCCATAATGAAGGGCAAGTTTCACAGTCTCTTCTGCCATCCACTTTGATCTTTTCTCTCTTTCTGTCTTTTTCATGACCTTTTGCTTTCTTCATGAATGATGTTCTTGATGTCAACCCATAGTGCATTGGATGTTGTCATTAGAGTTCAACATGTCAGATCTGTTCTTGAGATGTTCTCGGCATTGATGTGGAATACACTCAATGTACCAAAAGAAACAGTCAACATTCAACCATTTCAGGAGGTAGCATATGAGCAAGAACCAATGGTGCTGAAGGAAGAAGTCCAAGCTGCCCTGAAAGCACTAGCCAAATATAATCTTCAACAGCCTTCCTCTTTTTCACTGCCCCTCTACCCTACCAAACATGATGTCCTTCTCCAGGGACTGGTCTCTCCTGACAACATGTCCAAAGTAGGTGAGACGAAGTCTTGCTCTCTTTGCCTCTAAGGAGCACTCTGGCTGTACTTCTTCCAAGACTGACCGATTTGTCCTTTTGGTAGTCATGGTACTTTGACTAGTCTTCCCCAGCACCACCATTCAAATGCATCCATTCTTCTACAGTCTTCCTGATTCAGTATCCAATTTTCACATGCATATGAGGCAATGGAAAGTACCATGGTTTACTAGATATACGAGGGGGTACAACCCAAAATCTGGAATCCACTACCCCCAAGCTATGCTTTTCTTTTTTTTTTTAAACAAAAAACCTTATCACTTTCAAAGTACTTCCCATGATACTTAAAACATTTGTCAAATCTGTGATTCCACACTTGAAAACATTTTTCAGACTCATCTGTTTGGATGGCTGATGGCACCTCCCTCATTTTTTTTCTTCACCTCTTTTACATCTTCAAATCGCTGTCCTTTCATGTCCCTCTTCATTAGGGGAAACAAAAAGAAGTTGCGCAGAGCGAGGTCAGGTGAGTTAGTTGCATGAGACAAGAGAGGAATGCTGGTTTTGCCAAAAACTGGCGTAGAGATGGCTGCGTGAGCAGGTGCATTGTCGTGGTGGCAAAACCAGTCCCCCGTCTGCCACAAATCTTTTTTGTCCCACCCTGTTAAGCAATCTTTTCGAACCTTTAAACAGAAAGCTTGATTAAGAGTCTGACCTGGTGGAACAAACTCCAAATGGACTACAACTCATCATTTTTGTCTCTTTGAGAAGCTGACAGGCGCCCAGAATGAGGTTTGTAATCAATCAACAATTCACCTGGGTTGACTAGAGAAACAAATCCAAGGATACTCACAAACAAATCCAGGGACCTAAAAAGTCTGGATTGACTAGAGAAACAAATTCAGGGATACTCATAGGTGTGCAAGAGAGAGCTTTATATCAAGAGCAATTATATATTGAGAAAATATCCCAGCTCAGTTCAGATCAAGTCCATAAGTCCGATATTAGCCCATATATCTGATATTTGTCCATAACTTCCTCTTGAGACTCATGCAGCACATGCAATAATGTCGAATGAAGTAAGGAAGATCACAGGCCAGTGGTGGATCCAGTGGTGGTGGAAGCATCTCAGTGCTGGCGTGGGTCTCCACGTGGCTCCTCCAGCCCCAGGGTTCTCTGGCTCCATCAGTGTGGCTTCATGTGGCTTGTCATCAGGAAAGTGAAGCAGAGTGAGAATGTTTCCTGCCTCCAGGGAGGAAGACAGGAGTTCCCAGAATCCTCAGAAGGCCAGGCCTACATGGAGGCATCATTGCCTATGCCCTGATTGACAGTTTTGGGGAGGGGGATACCCCCTCCTATATGGCCCTTCTATGGAAGGGTTTTGTGAAGGTCAAATCAGATCATGCGTACACGTGGTTGCCTCTTTCCTTATTACATCTTACTTCACTGAATGACAGCCATTACTACAAAAACACAAGGGGCTCTCAAAACACTTCTGAATTCCATTTTTCCAAGGAATGGTTGGAAGCCCCCTTGTATAGCAGAAAAGATCAGGGACAACTGGGCCCGCCACCATTTCTAGACAAATCTGTTAACAAAAGTTGTAAGAGAAGCTTGTGTTTACTACTTTTCACATGTCCTCTAATGACCTCGTGTCATGCTTGATGGAGTGGGTTACCTGCCCTGCCCACCCACCGGCCTCCATCCCCACCCTCAGCCTCAGAGAGAATCGCATGCACACAGACAGGCTTTACTATTATGGGCTTAGAGAAACGACGCAGCCGTTAAGCCAGTTGCCTCCTTGCCATCAGAGGGAAGAGGGCCGGTGCATCACGCTACCCCTCGATGATCTGACCCAGCTTTTACTGGCCTCCAGCTAATAACCTTTTACAGCAAGTCAACTCGATTCATTTTATAGGCCAACATTTTTTTACAGCCTATGTTCTAGGAGAGGATCTTGCTGTAGGTTGGAGATTCAACGGAGACTTTTCCTGGAAGCTTCTGTGGTCAGGATGTGTACTTGATGAGATTTCCTAGGCAATAGTTTCAGGATGGAACAGTTTCACCCATGGGGGCTCTGCATTGGAGCAGATTATGGAGATCTACTCTCTTTCACAC